AACCCCTAATACAGATAAACTGGAGAAATTTCATAAAAACATGAATCCAATCCTTGAAATATTTCATAAACAAGCTTTTTGTTAGTTGCATAAACATGCATGCCTTTAGCTCATAATCAAATTCAACATAGCAATCATTGAAGCTAAGAAGTCAATTAAAAAGGATGAAACATCACCTCAAGTCATGTGCTGCCTCTCAAAATAATTGAAATAAAGAGATCGCCAAATTCATCACGGAAGTAACGTTTGTTGTATATGATATTTTTTTCAAATATATTAAAAAAATTTATTTCAATATTAATACATTAAAAAATTAAAAAAACAGTAAAAAATCATTAATTTGATTTTTTTTCTTCAAATGAAATGCATGAAAAAACAGAAGCTGTTATATTCCTAAACATAGTATTTGCTTTTTCCCTTTGTACAATATGTAACTGAGTTGATCTCATCTCCCTGTCCAATTATATATGAATAATATTATATCTCAATCCATTATGTTTGTTAAACATCTCACAATAACAATTGACTAATTAGTCTTCTCAATATTTGGTTTAAATTAAATTAAATTAAATTAAAAATTTCTCAAATTATTAGTAACTAGTAAAATTCTTGGCTGTAATATTTCATTAATTAATGCTAGATTGCTGCTTCGCTAAGGCCAGATTGTAACGTTTTGAATTAAGAAATAGAAAAAGATAACAAAGCTATTGGAAACTTAAAGAGTAAGTATAATTAAATTAGGAGTATTATAGTAATTGAATAAAAAGATGATAAATATAAATACAAAGTAAAAAAAATAGAGATGTAAGAATATCTTATATTGGAAGCGAGCATCTAGAGTCAGGGCTTTATAAGTGCATACTCACCTTGACTAGTAAGATGTTTTGGGACCATACATGACTGGTAAGAACAAACCCATAAGGGGAACTTAGGTGGAAGTCTTAGATTTGGATGGACTGGGAGGCCCAAAGTAGATAATCTCTTACTAGTGAGGTTGGGTGTTACATTTGGTATCAGAGCCGATGACAACTCATCTTAAGGTGGGGGGGATTGTAAAATCTCATATTAGAAGCGAGCGTCCAAAGCTAGAGCCTTATAAGTACATGCTTACCTTAACTAGTAAGACATGTTTTGGGGTTATATGTGGCTGTCAAGAACAAACCCGTGAGGGGGGCCTGGGTTGAAGCCCTAGATTTGGGTGGACTAAAAGGCCCAAAACAGACAATATTTTTCTAGTGAGGTGGGGTGTTATAAGAGAGATTTGAAATTAAGAGTGGAAAACTGACAAGAAAAGAGAACAAAAGAGGAAGAAAAAAATAGAAAAGAGAGAAATTAGAAGGGAAATAGAAAGAAATTGAAGAAAATAAGTTAAAAAGGTAAGATTTATATTTTAATGTGTATAATATGTATTCTTTAGCTTTAAATTTTGATTTTGATGAATGTTAGGGTTTTGAAGATTTTGTTTTGATTTTGATTGATGAATTAATTTGAATGTTATAGGGTTGATTGTTATGGGTAATTGATTATTTAGTTGATTATGAAAGATTGTGATGATTTTAAGTTATGAATTGTGTAAATGATGAATTTTGAGTTAGAAATTTGGAAAGAATAGTAGGTAGTCTGTGGAAATTCTAGGTTTGAGGCTGAAGATGATAAAATTTCAGTTCGATCCCTCAATTTATAAAAATTACAATTTAATCCCTAAACTTTGGAAAATTACAGATTGGTCCCTGGAGAATATTTCAAGATTTTGAAAGGAATAAAGTATGAATTATGGGCAGAATTCCAGTATAGTTATGAAATTTTAAAACTGTCAATTTGGTCCTCTATTTTGATAAAAAATTACAATTTGACCATAAAATTTGGAGAAAAATCCAGAATGATCCCTGGAGCATAATAAGATATTTTGGACATAATTAAGGATTAAATATGGTCAGAATTTTAGTATAGTCATGTATTTATGATATTTTTAGTTTGGTCTTTTAATTTGACAAAAGTTACAATTTAACCCTTAAAAATATAATAAATTCCATATTAGTGCCTAGCTAATAATTAAGGGTTATTTAGTGAATTATTAATAATTTTAATATTTTCTTTATTATGGATTGGATTTTGAAAAAAAACTATTTAATGTTAGGTTTTTAGAAAAATTGACTAGTTGGTTCAAAAACATATAGGGTTACGAAATATACTATTAGTCAAGTGTATTAAATAGGTTAAATATTCTTTCAAGTCATTCTTGAATATGTCTCCTTTGTATTCAGATAATCCTGATATTTTATAGGCAGGATGTTAGTAGGATTTTCTTTAGTATCTGTTTTTTATTTCTGTTTGATTTTGAGTCAGGTGAGTAGATAATTTTTTATATACATGAAAAATATTATAAATATTTGATTTGTTAATATGAATTGGATTATGTTCTTGATAATATATATGTTGATTATTATCCTTATTATGATAAAACATGATTAATTATTGAATTTGAATTCTTGATATGAACCAATATATATTTTAAATTGGCTTCTGAATTGATAGCTCATCATTTGATTGATGTTATGAGTTGAGTCTTAAGATATGAATATATCTGTTTGATTGTTATTATAAACCTATGGTATGCCTGTAAGATCTCACATCGGAAGCGAGCGTCTAGAGCCAAAACCTTATAAGTGCATGCTCACCTTGATTAGTAAGACGCGTTTTGGAGCCATGTGTGGCTGCTAAGAAAAAACCCATAAGGGGAACCTCAATGGAAGCCCTGGATTTGGGTGAACTAAAAGGCCCAAAACAGACAATATCTTGCTAGTGAGATAGAGTGTTACATTTGGTTTCAGAGCCGAGGACGGCTCATCTTAAGGTGGGGGGATTGTAAGATCTCACATTGAAAGCGAGCGTCCAAAGCTAGGACTTTATAAGTGCATGCTCACCTTGACTAGTAAGACGTGTTTTGGGACCATGTGTAGTTGTCAAGAACAAACCCATGAGGGGGACTTGGGTGGAAACCCTGGATTTGGGTGGACTAGGAGGCCTGAAACAGAAAATATCTTACTAGTAAGGTGGGGTGTTACATTTGGTGTCAGAGCCAAGGACGATTTGTCTTAAGATAGGGGGATTATAAGATTTCATATCGAAAGCGAGCATTCAAAGTCAGGGCCTTATAAGTACATGCTCACTTTAACTAGTAGGGTGTGTTTTCGGGTCATGCATGGCTGCCAAGAACAAACTCGTGAGAGGGACCTAGGTGAAAGCCCTGGATTTGGGTGGACTAGGAGTCCTAAAGCGGACAATATCTTGTTAGTGAGGTGGGGTGTTACAATGACAATCAGGATACCCATACTAACACGATAATATTAGTCTTTGTTCACATCGTATCTGAACCCTAGTTGGTTGGGGGACTCACCAACTTGTGTGGACTAATCATCCCATAATATGAAGCCTCATGCTCATTGCATTTTGACTTTCTAACGAGTTTTACCTTATGATATTCTTGTTATGGTCTATTTGAGGAACCTTTCAATAAGAACCTAAAGCCAATGTATATATATTTCTCATTGTTGTATTACCTCGTGTATGTATATTAAACATTATCTATTCATTGAGTTGTTGAATTCACCCCCTTATATAATTATTATTTTCAGGCTTATAGCTTGATAACAAGTCACTTTTGTTGGATCATAGCTTGATAACAGGTCACTTTTGTTGGATTTTTTGAACCTGTTTTTTGGTTGAAATTTGTACCTTTCTTTTATGTTTAGTTAATGCTCCAAAACTATGAAATTATATTAACTCTTGTATTAAAATAATTAAATTATATTATAAAGATAGTTTGTTGTTAATGCTACGTTGAATTTTGATTAAGTTGTTTAAAAAATAAGATTGTAAATAAATTTAGATTTGTATAGATATGAAACCTTGTCTATATATGTCAATTATAGATTCAAGAATCGGATTATGACACGTATATTCATATTTCCAAAGTCCAAAAAGTGGACTTGTATGGCTATGGTTGCCTTACCACCTATCTAAATCATATTCAACAAAATGCCAACCATGTGAGAATTTTCTTCTTTGTTATTGTTCGTTTCATTTGGAATATTAATTTATCAATTTACAGACCCCAAGACTCCATACTTAAATCAAAGTCTTTTACACTTGTCTCCAGTAATTCACTAAATATATCGTTACTGTAGAAAGGAATATATTTCTATAAATCCAAAGTGATCAAATTGTGAAATGTCAATCCGTTGATCTGTTCTGAAAATCGAAGAGATATATTTAAACGTAAACTAATTCGAGTGTATATCTTACTCGAAGTCAAACTGAAAAGGAATAATTGGAAGAATAAAGCTAAGTTTGTCCCACAAGCTTTGTTTATGACGACGAAAATATTGTCCTTGGCAAATTGTTGAGCTTCTTTCGATGAATTATAGAATCTGTAGGACCAAATGGTGAAGCTTCCTCGCAAAAACAAAAGAAAATCTTCGGGATTCCTGGCATGCATACACATCGATTTCCCTTTCATTTTTGGAAAATTCTATATCTTGTGCTCGCGTGAAATGAAGAAAGCTCAGCCTGTTGATTGATATGATGCATGGCTGCCATTTCAGTCAGCAGCAACTAGAAGAAAGAAATATTCAACTTTCATGTTTTTCTTGTAGTTGCAATCCCTTCTGTACTCTTACAATAAATCAACTTCACTTTCTAGTTTCTATACAATCTAGGATAGGTGACACTCGTAGGAGTTCGATCGGATTGTTCTTGGTTGAGTCTAAGAGATTTTGGGCATTCATCAAGACTGGAATCCATAGGACAGGTTGAATATATCCTGATCACAGGCTGTATACATAGGAGAAGCGTACAATAAATGAACATTCTATCGGGTAGAACAAATTATTTAAAAATCTTTTGTTCTATGATATGCACCTAAGAGTTGTCAACTTTTTCTAGATCACAAAATTTAATGTTCTATGATCAAATTTCTTCGATAGGCAGGCAAACTTCTCAACTTATAATAGTAATCGTTTTATACTTACAGGTGGAGATTATCGACAGGATATGCAGTTTTTAAGCATGTGTCACTCATGGTACATCCACATTACATTTCTTCCTGAGCTTGCAACAAGCATTGAAGTATCATTTTACAATTAAATTGTGGTAAACAATGGTGGCTGGTTTGCACAAATGGTTGGTAACAGTTTCTGCTTGTGAAAGTGCTCTTGGCCTAAACCTGTGATGAGTCTGCTCTCAATCCACTACCTCAATGGTTATCACTGAATTTTCTCCTTAGAACACATAAAAAGGTTAAATTAAAACAAACAATAGGATCAATTTATAAACCACAAAAAATTGTTTTTTGTTCATGTAAGAAATTGATTGACAAAATACCTATACAAATATCATCTCTTTTTTTCCGACAAGACCAACTGTTAATGTTACTGTGCTGTAAGGCTAATTGGCTAGAGTTAGCTTAATGTTAGCTAGAGTTGAAGGTGTGTTAAGTGTATTATTTTTTCCAAGTGGTAGGTTACGTGGAGCTGAAATTATTGAGAGAAGGGCAGTGGGTAGCAGTCGAAAGTGAGCAGAAACCGGGGCAGTAACAGAGAAGAAGAAACAGCAGCAGTTTGTGTGTCTTCCTCCATTGTAAGCCCTTCCGTGTGTGAGTTTTGTACCAGAAAATTGCAGCAATGATATGCTATGTCGAAGTGTGTTTTGTGAGTGTTATTAGCTTGACAATGCTACTTCATGCACTTCCAGAGAAATTTCAGGGCCTATAGAGGCCCTGACAGAAGTGAAAGTGGGTTGCCTAGGCAATGGAATGTTTGTTGTGCAGCTCTCCAACATAACCATAACTGATGCCATGCATGGTCTATGAAGTGCAGAATCTTGCACGCACAACATGCCGATTTGTATGCATCTCAGAACTTCGTTTTCATCACATGAATCTCGGATGGAAAGATCAACTATGTCCATTGCTTTACCTTCATTCCAAAGATCCCATGCCTGCAATCAGTCGGAAATTGGATCAGCGAGTGAAAACTTAGCAGTAAAAAACGCTGTGTTGTATCTCAAACCAGAGCCTAAATTGGTGACATTTTGCATGTACTTACATAAGCAATGAGGATCATGCGTTCTGTTTGACGGAAGCTAGTATTCCTTCGGCCACTCACAATCTCTAGGAGTAGTACTCCAAAGCTATAAACATCAGACTTCACTGAAAATAGGCCTTCCATTGCATATTCAGGTGCCATATAACCACTGCAAGATACAAGTGACAGTCAGAAAAATCATATTGTTGATTAGAGTTTAACACGAGCAATCTCATAGATATCAAACTTACTATGTTCCAACAACTCGGTTTGTGTTTATTTCACTTTGGTTTCCCCCAAATATTCTGGCCATGCCGAAGTCGGAAATCTTTGGGTTCATTTCTTCATCCAACAAAATGTTACTAGCCTTTAGGTCTCGATGAATGATTCTTAGTCTTGAATCCCTATGGAGATAAAGAAGACCTCTGGCAATCCCCTCAATAATTGCGAAACGTTTACTCCAGTCTAATAGCGCTTGCTTATCGGGATCTGCCATTGCGATCACAGGAATCAGAAACAATTAACAAGCCTGGTACAAATCATTGTTTTGAGCTTTAACAATCCTTTTCTATTAAGCACTAAATATAAGGAAGAACTCACCAAAAAGGAAGTAATCAAGGCTTTTATTTGGCATATATTCATAAATCAGCATCTTCTCATTACCCTGAAGGCTGCATCCTAACAATCGAACAAGATTTCTGTGCTGCAATTTGGCAATCAGCATAATTTCATTCTTGAATTCCAGGAAGCCTTGGCCAGAGATATTTGAAAGCCTCTTTACAGCTATTTCCTCTCCTCCCGGAAGCTTTCCCTATTAATTAATATGAACAATACTGAGATTTAGTACTTCAATTCAGCTTCTGTTATATTCTGATAGATGTACAACATAAATACTCACCTTGTAGACAAGGCCAAATCCTCCCTGTCCGAGCTTGTTTTCTTCAGAAAAATTATCTGTTGCAGCTGCTACACAGTTGAAACTCAATATTGGCAAATCTGAACCATTTACTTGGCACACTTCTATAACAAGGTCGGCAGATCCAGAAGCATCGGTTGCGAACTCTTTACCTTTGCTCAGATCATAAACTGGGAATTCGCATTTTGTTGATGTGAAAGCTGACGTAGCCGCTGGCATAACTGAAGATAAAAATTAAGAAGGTAAGATGTCATTTCTTGATCAAGACGGAAGAGATCTCTTAACCGATAATGAAACTGAGATTCTTACCTTTGAGACTTTTTTTGAGCATCCACAGAAGCCATATAGATATGGCTAGGAAGGCCAGTCCAGCCAAAACTATTAGTATTATCATATACGTAGGCATCCTGCTGCGACCTATATCGATAAACAAATCAGAAGATATCCAGCATAGAAGGCAACTTGAATAAACTGTTACAGGATTTCACATCTTTTTCTTCATCTAATTCACGTAGTTCATTATGACGACAAACCAGATTTACTAACTAGAAACTTGAGTCTGCATCTTGACCTTTTCATTATCATGGTCTGCATGTTTTCGGATTTTTGTTAAGACAAAATGATGATCAGAAAAAGTAAAGAAACTTGGATTGGGTGTTACAATTTGGAGCTTTTCTGGGGCCATAACTGAGTTGCTAAACCCAGAAAGGACTACTGGATCAAAGACTAATTCAACTGGCCTTTTTTATTTTCAATGATGATAGCAATAAACTTGAAGTTGTAATTCTAAGTACTTCTATATGAATTTTAATTATAAACTACTAAATCAGTTGACAAACAATGAACACAACAATGGGAGAGAGTTTACCTAATTCAGAATCTGCGAGACGCAAGTACAGTGTGCCCTCACCTTCGACAGAATACTGCACATCAATCAAGTCTCCATTCCATATCATGCATTGAATCTCACTGACGTGCGCATACGCCTTACATGAACAGTTATTTAGACACCTTTCTCTGCAAGCATCCAAGGAGATCGACTCCACATCTGCAAAATCAGGCAACTTCGTGCACTTTACTGTTTTGAACCCATCTTCTCCACCACTACTAGTGTTCCTCTGGCACTGTAAAGGAGACCTTCTTCCACATCCGCCTGACCAATTTCCTAGTCTCCACTGATCTGGATGCCTTGGCTCAAACCCTTCCATACATCTGCATTTGGGAGATCCTGATGAAGTACAGACTCCAAAATTGCCACAGTAATTGTAATTCTCACACTCTTCAGAAGGTTGTGATTGCATTACTTGCCACGTCTTTGCACTTTCATTCCACTTTCTCGACTCTTCAAATCCATTCCATGTTATCTGAAACCTCAAGAATTCAGAATTATTTGATGGATTGTATGTAACATAACAGTTTCCATCGCTTTCACGAGAAAACTTAAATCCAAATTGGTAAGTGGTAAAAGCTTTCATATACGGAACACCTGAGAATATTATTCCATTCCAGTGTCCACTTCTCCATCTTCTCCTCGATCCCTCCCAAACTACTATCTGCGGTGTTCCGCGGGGATCCACTCCCATGGTGAAATCTTCTTCCACATCCGCCTGACCAATTTCCTAGTCTCCACTGATCTGGATGCCTTGGCTCAAACCCTTCCATACATCTGCATTTGGGAGATCCTGATGAAGTACAGACTCCAAAATTGCCACAATAATTGTAATTCTCGCATTCTTCAGAAGGCTGTGATTGCATTACTTGCCACGTCTTTGCACTTTCATTCCACTTTCTCGACTCTTCAAATCCATTCCATGTTATCTGAAACCTCAAGAATTCAGAATTATTTGATGGATTGTATGTAACATAACAGTTTCCATCGCTTTCACGAGAAAACTTAAATCCAAATTGGTAAGTGGTAAAAGCTTTCATATACGGAACACCTGAGAATATTATTCCATTCCAGTGTCCACTTCTCCATCTTCTCCTCGATCCCTCCCAAACTACTATCTGCGGTATTCCGCGGGGATCCACTCCCATGGTGAAATTTCCTGGTGAAGGATCATTTGCAGATTTCCATGAAGTGAAGGCATGAATCTCTGCAGAACTTATAAGAACTTTCATGTTTGGCAAATAGGTGTCGGTTGGATTACTGAAGCTTTGCCAATAGGCTTTATCTGTCTCACCAATAGTATCATTGCTTGAGAGAATTAGATTACCTGTTACATCAAGCATCGCTGCTGTGTTACTAGAAACTACTGAAGCATTACTTGACCAAACTGGACTTCCATTTCCATCTGCAACCAACAAATTCCCATCTTCACCTATCCTCAAGACTCCATTGCTACCGGAGATTGGTTTTTCTCTATTAGCAACCCAGATGACAGCCTGATCCTGAATCTTGTAATACCTTATACCAACATATCTCAAACTAGAATTTCCAGGGCTAAAGAATCCCAGTTCAAAGTTCTCATCAACTGATATCAAAGACTCACCATCTTTTAGTGATTGGCCTCTTGTGAGTGTATTAATGGCAGCATGGCAAAAGGGAGCTAGAAACAACAAGGAATAAGAGACCGACAAGAGAAAAACAAGAACTGGGATCATGCTCATGCTGACCATTCTTTACAACCTCTGAGAAAAACAGATTCAGAGAGAATAAAGAACTAGAAAGGCAGAAAAGACGTAAAATAAACAGATTTTGTCAGGGGTTTGTACATTCAAAGAAGAAGCTTCCCCTAACGGTGGTTTTGGTGGAAGCTGACTACCCTGTTTGCCGAGCTAGGCTGACAAGTTAAGACTTGAAAAGCTTCTTTGACATATGTTTCTAGTAGATCCTTGGACCTTCCATAAACAATGATATCAAAATTTGTTCCAATCTTTGACCAATAAAGCTTTAAAATGGAATGGAGGAGAGTTTTGGTTGGAAATTGTCAATGAATGTTCAATGACATTGACATTAGTAGAGACTAACTTCTTATTTTTTATTCTTGTTCATTTCATTTGTACTGTTAATTTATCAACGCACAGATCCCACGACTCCATATTTGAAATCAAAGTCTTTTAAATTTGTCTCGAGTAATTCTCTAAATAGTTACTATACACAAGGAATATATTTCTATAAATTCAATGGTACGATAGTTAAAGAGATATATTTTATTTTCTTACTTTCAAATTTGAATCTTGAAGAAGCCGCTATATAGATAGAGAACTTTTTTTAATACAATAAATCGATATGAGAATGTATTTTTAAAAACGTTTAAGAAAAAAAATTAGTCTCGACTTCATGCATGTATCTTGTGGTCTTATAAAATAAAATAAAAATTCAAAGTCAATTAAAAAGGAATAATTGGACAAATAGCCACGTGATTTGTTTATGATAACAAAAATGTCCTTGGAAAGTTGCTGAGCTTTCGATGGATGAGACACTGTAGGACCATATGATGAAGCTTTCATGCAAGTACTAAGTACCTTTCTAGCAATAAAAAAAGGAAATATTAAGGGTTCCTGGCATGGATACTCATAGATTTCCTTTCATTTTTTGAATTATATATCATGTGCTGATGTGATATGACGAAATCCAATATGATGTCTGGCGCCTGCTATTCCAGTCGGCAATAACTAGAAGAAAGAAATATTCAACTTTGGTATTTTTCTCGTAGTTGCAAACCTTATTGTACTCTTACAATGAATCAGCTGGACTTGCTTATTGGGATAAAAGACACTCTTTAGGAGTTCGATTGGATTGGTTTCGATACAGACCAAAAGATTTTGAGCATCCAAGACTGTAATCCA